TGAAATAGCACTAAATTCAGTTTCAGATGAGGGGTGACCAAAAGGTACACTAACATCCAAGCGACAGAAAAAAACTAAATAGAGTTTACCAAAGGCAGAAATGGAAGCTTTGACGAACTTTTGAAATGATAACAATATAATAGTTGCCAAGTCAGACAAAAGCAATTCAGCAGTAGTATTAAACAAATTTGTTTACGTTCCGAATGTCAACGAACATATTGAAACATGGCTGTATAAGGAAATTCAGAAACAAATGATAATTACTATGAATAAGGTTTAAAAAACTATAGTGGACCTAAAACGCCAAATGAAAGCGTTTCTAGTTGAGTTGAAATGGTTTAATTTAATGCCGAAAAATTAAAGATCCCAGTAGGATTTATGGTACTATTAAAATTAATAAGCCGGGTTATCCTAGGAAATTCACAGCAGACTTTAAAAGAATTCTTATTTATAAGTTATCTAAATATTTAGTTGTGTTACTGGGTCGAATTAGAAAATTTACTACATCTAGAGTTACTAATTTCTTGTGACTTCAAGCATACATTACATATAGTTAAAAGGTGGAAAAATTGTTAGTCTTAATGTAACTAGTGTGTTTACTGATATACTGATCGACATGGCTCTGGAAGCAGTTAGAAATAAGTGCAGTGATGACTGAGCTTGCGCTGAGAACTGAGGTGCCACGCCTATCATCCACAATCTTTAAGTTTCAGGATAAAATATGCAAACAGAAGGAGTTACCATGGGATCATTAATATCCCCGATCGTGGTAGACTTATTTGTGGATACTTGGGAATAGATGGGTGTTGAAACGTTTAGTCCTGCTCCGAAAGTAAAGTTTCGTTATGTAGATGACACACGTTTACGGTGTTGAAATCCGAACACATAGATACTATCCTTACACATGTAAATTCAGTGGTCAGCGCAATCTAATTTACCTATGAATCAGAAAGTGGTGGAGGGGGTTAGCGATGTTGAGTCGCAGAATAAAACGAAAATAAGGTAGGACTTTAAACACTAGTTTCTATAGGAAACCGTCACACTTGAATAGTTACTCGCTTTATGTCAGCTAAAGTTGGCTTAGTAAAACGTCTACTTAACAAGGCCTAAAAATTCACTAGTAAGACATACCTGAGACAAGAAATCAGATACATCAAAGACATCTTACCTGCGATCGCCCTTGTAAATTAATTAGTAATTGTCAGAAAAATATGACACGAGCACACTTACCGGTGCCTGACACTAGTTGTGTTTATGGACCTAAAAGAGGATAACTGTGTCATTTGAAAGGTCTTAGAGCAGTGTCTGTCAGTGTAATGGGTGATGGAAAAGTACATCACGTTGTTAATGGCTCTGCACTCGAACACGCGTGGACGTGTTAGAACCTATGGTAAGTTATTAGGTGAGTTACGTACGTCGGGTGATTTCCGTTGAGGATGTACACTCCCTCTATTCTTAACTAATTTTGTCATAGACGTTCTTGTGGAGGTCTCCTTCTCGTTGTCTGACTTTAGAGGGCTTGATTGGTCTTGTGACAGGAGAATCCCTTATAGATGTAGAATATGTTGACAATGTATTCCCATTTGGTCAAGACTCTGGCAAGATTCAGAGCCTTTTGACAATTTGAGAGCGTTAGAGACGCGTTTCTTACTGCCCAAATGTATAGCTTCTCCGCGACTTTCCTTCACTGGTGCCCTATCTAACAATTAGGAGTTGAGTTTATCGCGTTGACCTCTTTACTTAACTGGGAAGTGAAGTCAGCCCTGGTGAATAAGTGACCGACGAAATCTCCTCATAGATGCAACAGGCTTTTGTCATCTACGGGCTTCCGTGATGTCAGGTGTTTTATTGTGGGTCAAACATACTGTACTACAGTTCGCCCTGTTCTTCTATGTGGTTGTGAAAGATTGCCATTAAATGTCGTTGACCACTGTCGCCGTCGTATCATAGGCCGTGTGTTGCAGTGTTACCACGTGAGTAACGTAAAAAACAGACGTAAAATTTCTGGGTGAATAATGAAATCAATTGATGAGCTTGTAAACACTCACCGACTCAGGTGGCCAGGACGTGTGTTGCGCATGCCTAGTCACCCGCTGTTTCGTCGCACAGTGTTTACTGAAGTAGGCTCAGGCAGAAAAAAGTTAGAGGCCAGATTAAAACATGCCGTCATTACATGAAGTCTTTGGCTATTGGTCTCAGCTGTGCAGGGGAATATGGACTTCCAGGTTAAGGTCCATGTGACAACAGAAACCTGTGGCTGCAGGCTCAGGTGATATAGACCAAAATCTATCAGTGGTGCTGATGTATCTCCTCTTTATCTTCGTCCTACTGGATTTCAGTATTCTCTCAGTCCACCTCCCTCTCTTTTTCCATATTAGATTTGTTGGTTTGATGCTTAACACATTGATGTATTATTATCAAGTAAATAATACTGTATCACTGTGTGTTATGCATCAAATAAACAAATCTAATATGGAATTACATTCTACAACAGTGCCAAAGTTTTACATTTATATTTCTCTTTTTTACAACTTTCTGCCATTCTTGATTGCTTTAATATTCATTTCTTTATCCTACATCTTAGTGTATTCTCACTTGATGGCAGTTTGAACCGTTATTCTGTAATCCCTGGTCCTGTATTGATCTATCTCTCTTGTATCAGCTATGTGAGATAATTTTATCGGTGATGTTTCCTCTCTTCATTGCGCCTGTTTCCCCTTTTTTCATGCTGAAGTTAAACTTATCTTCTGGATTTGAAGTTTTGAGAATTCCTTCGTGAAACGGTGAACCAGATATATTGTAAAAGCTATGCGTGTAAAAATACACTATGAGTACCTTGTTACACAGCAAAAACTGAATATGTGAATGTCCGTCACATTTTCAGATGTGAGAACTTGTCCACTCCTTATCAATAATCAGTAGGAATTTTCCAGTTTGCTAGCGAAGGCGTGTTTAGTGTTGAGTATATGTTTCCCTTCTTAGTTTTTAAGAAGGCGAGATTGATATAGAATTTCTTGACGTGTAGAAGTACTTCGATAAAAATGTACTACTATATATATATATATATATATATATATATATATATATCACGGAAACTGAATGCCGTGTTGATACTTAAAGCAATATTTACCTAAATGTATTGGTACATATTTATGTAGTGGAAAAGGATAATGACTGTAAACAATCTGTATATTTTGTGTCCTTTGTGGTGTAATCATAATGCGGTAGAATATCGAGTATTGTTCCTTCAATTGTCCTCTGTTTCAAATGATAGCATATTTACACATATTCCTAAAATGAGATTAAGCACACTTTACTTTTTAAATTTTTGAACATTCCTGATGCGAATAGAAATAAAAATGTAACTTTTTTCACTTAAATTCTTGAGCATGACTTAGAAACCAGTGTTGGCTTTAACGCAAAGATACTTTCTCAAGTAATGATGTGTATGTGAAAATTCTTAGCAAAATAGGAGACACTAACATATTTAGGCAGACTTATTAATTTGTTCTAGAAAATCAACAACAAAGGGTATGGCATATTCCAATAACAGCTTACCAGACTTGAATAATGTATGACTATAGTAACTCATTAGCTTAGTATGTAATGCTTTGACGTTTGGAACAATGAGTGTTGTTTCTGGGTTTCAATCAGAACTAAAACACCGACTGTGATGCAGATACATGATATGGACAATCCCTAGTGGGATTCAGTGTTCATCCTAGAATCCCCTGTTGTCAAGATTTTCTAAGAACCTCTGAGTATGCCCTCCAAACTTAATTTCTTAAGTAACGGTAGATGTTTGAAGTAATCGGGTGAAGAATAATTGTCTGCCATAAAATGATTACTTAATATCACAGTGAATTCTAATTGTGTATCGTCGATATATCTTTCTTTTTTCTGTGGTCCCTTGGTTTATTCTAAATCGGTAAAACACCGTTTATAAAGTCAGATATTTTTTTATCGCTATTGTTTTTTGTCAAAAGGACAAGAGATTTGATAAGCATATGAAGCTAAGTTGACCGATGGAGCTGAAATACTAATAGTGTGTGCTGTAAGAAAGTGATCAGAATAGGCCTAGGTTGAGAGAAGCATTGGAATTGTTAGATGAAGACATAACAGTGAAACATGAAATTTTTAAGTGCTGGTTTCAACCTTGTGTGGAATAATCAACCTGGTTTCTGCAATCCGTTAAATCACGGAAAGCAGTGATTGGGAGATTTAGGCAACAGGGTCCAGTAGTAGTATCAATGGCGTAGTTACTTCCACTTATTGCCTCATTGTGAGTACTGAACATCTTATTCTTAACCTATTTAGTCTCAGTTGAGCGTAACGTTTTACTTTTATCTAATGTGTAGTTTGTTTTCTTTGTCTTTTCGCCTACCAGTTATCACTAACTGTTCGGTTATAGGGTGTAATAACCTGAAATGATGCACTATCAATACGAAGTATTCTTGCCATTCATTCATCTTTTTCACTACTTGGCTTCATGTTGTCTACTTTTTGTCGTGAACTCTATTTTTCGAAGGGGAAATCTTGTTTGTCTGATAGTCACATGTCTTTCGGTTGAAATTCGCTCAAGGATCCCTTATTTTCAACCGGTGTGAACATCATTTGCTTTGTTGAAATATTTGGGTAGTATCATCATCTTTTGTTCCCGGTTCTTATAAATAAAACGCTGTTATCTGTTTAGTGACATCAGCTCTTATAAAAGTCAAATACCGTTTATGAACTCAATTATTGTAGGGTAGAGAAGAACTATCTTCCTTATCTAGTTCTGTTTTTAATTGGAATGGTTATTAGTACTCCATATCTATTTTTAAAATGATGATTCTGAGCTTCATCCAAGACTAAGAAGAAAGTTGAATGTTGTGACTGTAAGTTAGCTTGGAAATAATGTTTGGATGTAGTATTCATATGGTAATTACCTTTCATGTCTTGTTCGTACTAGTTTCTTTTTGCAATCTAGCACATTTCTTTTCTCACTTTTTTGTATAAAGGCACGAGAAAGTCTCAATATTCCTTGGGGTGGTGGAGATGATTCTGCTGCTGCTCAGGCTGGTAGAGATATTGAAATTCACTTCAGAGATACTCGAATGATGCGTCATGAACGCGCTCGACTTAGTCAACCACTTTGGTTAGAAGAGGAGTTTTTAGAAATTGTGCCTGCATTACGCGCAATCTGGGAAGATACAAGTATACGATCGGCGTTTGAACAGCGTTCAAAAATAATTACAGAAAATTTTGTAAGTTGAATTCTTCATAGAAATTTTCTGTCTAATTGTCGTTGTTGTATTCAAGTTTTCCTTCTCCATATTTTCTTTTAAAAGACTACTTTTTATCATACGTTTAATTACTTAAGACCAGGGAACTCTAAACGACTTTTACTCCACTTGAGGGTTCTTAAAGATGCAGTCACTCAATATCCATTCTAGTGATATGCATACTACTTCGACATCTATGGGTCAGTTGGATTTTAACCTAATGAAGATGAACCCTTCATGAGAATGCCTTTAAGTTGTTGAAGCAGTTGATCATATCATTTTACAGTAGAAAATGAATTTTTGTTTTGGCAGCTATCATTTTCCACTGAGTTACGCAGAATACACCAGTACGAAAAAACAAGACCCTTAACTTTTTGCTGTTTCAGTATATTAGCTGTAAATCTCCATAGACCACAGTGATTATGTAAAACGTATCAATCCGTACTGAAAAGTGCTGAACCGATTACTCTATGCTTTTTACAGTGTTTTATAAAGAATATTCTTCGAAAATACATTTCACTTTTAGGACACATTTCTCACAGGGTTATTCACACTTAGTGCTGTCTCCCAAATGTGTATAGATTCTTTGAGTCGGTTAAAAGTAGCAGATCCGTGAGCGTGTCGGTCGTATAGTAACTATTTAGTTTTAGAAATTTTGATCGATTCTAGCATCAAAAGGTATTTCAAGTTCTGACTCGATAATCTGCATACCTCTTTTGTTACCCTATAAATGTGATATTTCTTACTAACTTACGAGGCACATATCAAAGTTGTTTGTTAAATGACGGTTTATTAAAAACCTTTACCACGCACGCTAAAACATTGTACGCTAAACTAGCATGATATTTAAATTGATATGCAGAACATTTATATACAAAGTAATACAGGATATATATTTGTGTGTGATCAAGGCAGATGTATACTTTGTGTAGCGAAAATCTTGGGAAAAATGTTGTCTTTCACAGTTTCTTTGAGATTTGGAAAAGAACCACATTAATCAACTATTAGTATCTTTCACAGGGTAATCCATCAACTAACTTTACTTGTAGACAAGTAAGATTTTAGTGTGCTATTCGAATAAGAACTTTGGCAGATTTATCTATATAATTTTAGGGGTAAGACTAAATAATATAGGTATATATTTGGTTGACAGTTCGATCTTTTTTTACATGGATGAAGATCATTATGGTCAATTAAACTGAAGGAGAAGTTATAATTTCTCTCTACTGAAGTGAATGGCTTATACTTTATTGTGTATTGAGTAAATTTTTTTGATATGTTTTCCACCTTATTTCTGTTTCGCCCTTTGTGTGTTTACGTCTTTAGATGTAATTGCACATCAACTGTATTTCCTCTCCAATATTCTCAACAGTTCGATGAAAGAGTAGAATTAGCGAGAAAAATAACGAAATGTTAAGATGAACTAGAAAGAAGATAACTGAATGGGAAACAGTTATCGATCGAGTGATTAAATGTACTGAATTTAGAGGAAGATACAAACGTAACGCCTCTGTGTTGGTACCATAGGTTTTTACCCATACCAACTGTCGATTTCTCCTACTTAAAGCGATTTGGTTGGAAATTCCACAGTTCTAATTTTGCCTTGCCACCCAACATTAAGATTATTACAATTATTATTATGTTATAACACAACGGGCAACTAAATCAATACCCGATTTGTCCCTCTACCTTCTTATTTATTGAAGTTTCGTAATCTTAAATAATTCACTTGACTCACCTCAATTTTTACGCCTGAACTCTGTATTGCTGACTGGGTACCTTTACTGGACTCTGCTTATGTTACTGTAGAAAATGTTAAACTGAATATTTATAGTATATTTGTGCTACCTATTTTTGGCAGTTGTTTTTCACAGCCGTATTATAAAAAGGAGAAACACTGCAGCGCTCTACTATCAGCAGTAGTGATACAAAAAACGCCTTAACCCATCGAAACCCAGATTTAAATTTCATATCGCGGTACAGGTTTCGTTAACACTTCATTGAGGCCGCTGCAACCTCCAAGATGAATGCTACGTTTAGCATGCCCCATTTTGTAACTGTCTTGATCCTTTTAGAATCAAGCACCAAGCAATGAATAGGATAACTGAAGCAATTTTATCCGAATTACATACGGCTTATACCTGAAGAAAGTCCTCACTTGTCCGAAACAAGCATCAAAAGACTAATAAATCTAACTTGACTAGAAACATTGGACTGGCATATATCTTGTCGTACACAAGATTTTACTTCTAAACTCGTTAGGAAACACTGCAGACTGAAGAATCCTATTTTCAACACTGATGTAAAAAATTTTCTTCAGGGGTTTAAGATGTGATTCTCTGTGAGGAGTTTGGGTCTGACTTCCAACTGGATACAGCAGTTGACAACCATTGTCATTGGCATGTTTTGTTGGGTTATCTCTTTTCTCATTTATTCAACAGTGTAGATATGTCGGTCGTTAGCACTGCAACTTATGGGTACCTAGAAGTAGAAACATGGCCACTAACCCTTGTATTTCGACTTTGTCAAAATTGAACCCAACTTTTCACTAGACTCCTTTTTTGCTTATGCATGAGTAGGAAAATTTCCTGCCAATTGCTCATGTCAAAGGTGAACTTTATGGCTGGATGACAGAAATTAAGCACATCCAAAGCATGACCGCCTTAAAAAATAATGGCAATATCATACGTAATCTTTTGTGTAGCTAGAATTATCGAATACTTGCTTCAGTTGTTCGTTTTCATTTTCATATTGTCTAACTCCATAATCAGTGTTTTTCCGGCTGGAAGACAGCAGGCTCGTTTGACATTTGCTTGAACCGATGCACCTGTGTGCGAGATTTTACGCTGATTCCGTGTCTGAAGAATGAGTTTTATCGAAAACTCTGTCTTCTTACTGAAAACCGTATGTTCCTATGTGTTTTTTGTAGCGGCTAATTGAATGCACAAACAAGTAAGTAAGCTAATTCTGATAGAAAGGAATCCCATTTGGAAGTACGGAAATTGACGATAATCTGCTGCAAATGTACTGAGACAACTGGTTCTTCTAGAGCACGTGTTTGAACAGAGATCACGCGTGTATGTGCGCCTAAGTAAACGTCGAAAAGCTACAGCTCTCAGACCATTCGTGGTGCAGCTGCTTCCAGTGAGAAACAGGCAAGACAGTCATTGGAACATGAAAGTGTCACTAATCCGGAATTAGCTTGGTTTCACCTCCATTGTTTTGCAGCTTTAAAGACTGTATCTGACACAGAGGAGGAAGTGAAAAAGGGTCGTCGGATGTTATCTGCTTCTTCAAAAATAATAAATGAACATGAGTGCATTCCTGCAGGCTCTTAGCACAACATGAATTTAGATTGAGGAGAGGTTTCCGCAATGACCGTAAATAGTGGTTTGTAGCGAAGGCAATGGAAATAGATGGCAAAAGTTTGTTGTTTGGACTTAGCAAGTTAACTGTGTCACAAGTTAGTGGTTAATGAGATTATAACGAAGGATGGGTTTACGATTCACTCCTGGGGGAGACTACAGGAGTAGTGGATGGAACACTTCGAGGAACAACTCAACTGACCCTTGGTTATTATTACATTCCTCGCTGTCCAATCGGATCTTGAAGGGAACAATGAGATAGCAGTTGTGAAGCTTATTAGTAACCTAACGCAAAGAGGTCCAGATGGGCTGCTGCCGGAGGTATTTAAATACAGTGATTTCGGACTATTGATCACGGGCTTGCAGTGTATTATGCGTATGAGAATCAAATATTATACCCTTTGATTGGTTTCAATCACTGATTGTTCCAGTCTACAAGGAAGGTGTGGAATCATCTTGTAATTCTCACAGGAGATTCGATCTAACGAGCATACTGTTTAAAATTCCTGGTTCTAGAATTATCAGACGTCTGAATCGCGTTTGGTAACCGAAAACCTGAGTAAACTAGATGGGTTTCGAACCTGTTTGTGTGTGTGTGTATTGTTCACCTTCTGCCAGATTTTTGAACCCAGACAGACTTCCTGACCTTCGACACTAGATATGTCTCATCACATAAAGACGATATTCTACTCTGTCTACCAAGAAGTGTTATCGAAGTGTTCAACTGTGAAAAGCCTAGCAAGCAATTTTGTAACTCTAGCCAAAGCTCTCTCCTCAAACTGATGCTGCCGTGTAGGGGCTTATGGAGAGTTGTCATGTAAATTGACAACAACTAGTGGTATCCTCTAGGGATGCCAGCTGTCACTATTCCTGTTTAATTTCATTACAGATGTACTAATGGATATCATTCTAGGTACGTCTGACTTAATAGGGATTGGTCTACTCCATGGAGTAAATCTGATTTACTTGGAGTACATGGACGAGATTTTCCTGCTAGGTGAAGATGCTGACAAAATGCAGAGTCTTGTGAATGCGTTGAGCATAAATATGAGTATGTTTGTTTGGCATGCATCTCACATTTGTCGAATGTAAGATGCTGCATAGCGAGTGAAGTAGTGGAACGCATCAACCACTTCACCTACCTGGAGAATTGGAACAACCCGAAAGGACTGGCCGCTGACAGAGCCTTGGCTTCGATACAGACGTCTTGTTCCATATTTATGAGGTTCCGTCATCTCTTGCGCTGACGAGAAATCTGACTATCTGCTAAGTGGCGGGTATATTGCACTGCATTCTATTCTGTCCTGTTAGATGGCTGTGAAAAATGGCCATTAAAGGTAGAAGGTATGAAGATATTGTAGAATTTCGACTACAGCTGTTTTCACAGCATTATTTTTGTGCTTGGAGTCATGATATAAGCAATGTTGTTGTTGGACGAAGGTTAATAGGTGACGCAGGCTAGTTCGTCGATATGGTTGTGAACTTTCACTGACTGAGGTTGCTCGGACATGTTCCGTATATGTTCAGCCACCGCCGACCTTGATTTTAGCTGAAGTTGGTTTGCGTTGAGAGTAGCCAGATTGAGACGTGATATCAATCCGTAAAGTCTTACTGTTGGTCTGAGCCATTTAGGGTAATGTAAATTGCTTGGCTGGGGTCCTCGAGACGACAGGAATTAGTAGATGAAGAGCCTTGGTGATATGGCTGACAGTCACTTGGAACAGCTCAGATTCATTCACTCTTTGATATCTTCAAAGGCCTGCACCTTTTCACTTGTCTTAACTTTTAAACTCCTTTTCCTCCTATGCACCTATGACTACATTGATATTGCTCTTTCTCTACCCTCTTGTTCTTTGCATGCTACTGTGAAGTGTGGCAACTTGGACGATGCTATTGTGTGCAAGGTTCTACCTTGATTTTATTTGTGTGTCTTATTGTTTTATAAATTTTTGTGATCTGTTTAAATTTTTAACAGCTTGAATACCTTTCATCAAAATTGATGATCTGATCTGTAAATACTTACATTGTACTGCTTTAGGATGTAACGTAATCAGTAAACAGAATATTCTTCTAACTTGTTAACACTGCTAAATGGTCGATAGAATTCGGTCAACACTCAGAGCTTGAGAACGTGAAATTGTTTGTTCCCTAGTAATCAATCAATCTAAATAATCTAGTCCCTTACAGGCGGTTAACGTTGGTCCGGACAGCTCAGTGGTAACGTTGCTCACTACAATGCTGGATGACGGTGGTTTGAATCCCACAGGGGGCATCAGTTCCCTTGGGGTTGCAGATACGCTTTATGCTTGACACATTCGAGGTGTTTACAAGTGTTCCACTATAAAAAAAGAGTAACATTTCAATCCCTGTTTTTTATTTATTTTATAGGTGATTGTGATGGTGGTTAGAATTAACCGATTTGATTTGTTTTATTGATGAAGTATTTTTGTGTCTCTTTATCTCTCACTATCGTGTTCACTGGTTCATTCCTTCCATATAGAGTGAAATACGCGTTATTATCTGAATCGTTTAAATTATATTGGAGTAGAAGTGAGTCTGAATATGATATTATTGTATGTTGTATGAATTCTTTCCATGATGATCCGTTTTCTTGTATAAGAGTATGTGAAGACTTTTTTACTACTCAGCAGTTCAACTTTTAAAAACTTTAGTTGTCTCTTACCTTATGTTGAATCTACGAAAAAATATGCATTTCTATGGAGAAGTTACTGAGCAACAGGTCTATTTCTTTGTACAGATTCGACTTTTTTCCGCATGACGTTTGGGAAGTTTTTCGGCATTCGGTTTACTTGCCATCTGAATAAGTTCACTTTTTATATTCATCTCCAGCACAAGGCATCCACTTTTGTTCTTTTACCTTAGTGCGAAAAGCAGTCACAAGAAGGTAATGAATATTTAAAACTTTCCGGATGTAGTTTATCCACTGCTATTTGGTCCTAAAGTAGTGTTTGGAGAGGTAGAGTTGACGTTGTTTCTCTATGTTCAGATATGATGAAGTGGTTTATAGATGTAAAATATAACTGGTTACCACACCACCGAAAATTCTGTGAAACCTGCATTCAATCTACGAGGATTTTTTCGGTCACATTGTGGAAGTCATCTTAAAATTTCCTATAAATTATGTCATAGGGATAAATACAAAAAGTAAGGGGGAAATACAGACAAGCAATAGTACATAATACTGTTATTCATATGATATGATTAAATGATGCGGAATACGGAATATTTCCTACCCCTAAGATAATTTCATGCCGTAGGCAACGTGTATGCATATCATAATATATGATCCTGTCCAGTAACTGGTTATACTTTTACAGACAGGATTTTTATATTCATCAGTGTTATCTTTATTATTGTTGTTGCCAGCAGTAATTTGTTTGGTTTTCGATTCATTTTGTTTGTTTTTATCGATTAACTGTAACCCATTTGGTTAGATACTTATTTGCTCTAGTTTACTCTCTCTCTTTCCCTCTCTCTCTCACACACACACATTGCTTTACGTATTTCGAAATTCAATTTGAAATAGAATTTGTTTTATTGATATCTTCTGTTCAGCTAACTGTATCTTACATCAGTTCCTAATTAATTTATCGAAATGACTTCTAGTTTTGATGACCAAAGGGAACGGAGTGGTGGAGAGTAGCCGCAGGTGGTTGGTTCAGCGACAATTTGAACGAAATTCCACTCCACATAAGGCTCCGAAACAGTGGTCTATAGTTTGTTAGTCTATCATTGTCACAATTATTATTATTATTAGTCCCTTGGGTTCCTAGTGGAACATAGGGCTTCAGTAGCACGTCTCCAGTGTCCTCTGTTCTCTGAGATCTTTTAAACCTGGCTCCACGACAGCCCACAAGCTCTCATTTCCTCCTCGCACCATCTCCTCCATGTCACTTTCAGCTGGGACACTCAACTCGTCGCTTCCCATCGGGGTTCCACTCGAGCAACTGGCCTGACGCGTGATGTCCCCAGTCGGCCTTCTCAGTGAATGCCCAATCCATCTCCACTTCCTTCCAGTGCATATTTGTTCAGCGATAGGTTCTTGGCTGGTTCGTTGCCCAGCCAGAGCTCCTTGTTGCTTATTCTTTCTGGCCATCTGATCTTCAGTAGCGAGCCAGCGTAAGCAGTTGTTGATGAATGTCTGTAGTTTGTTGGAAATCCCCTTCGCAACGCGCCAAGTCTCTGAACCATACAGAAGCACTGACTTGACGTTGGTGTTGAAAATCCGTATCTTGTTCCGCATGCTGAGTGCAGAAGATCTCCACACTGGTTTCAGGCTAATGAAGGCCTGTCTTGCTTTTCCGATCCTGACTGGTTTTGACATCCTCGTCTGTGCCGCCTGTAGTTGAAACAGTGCTGCCTAGATAGGTGAAGGAGGTTACTTCCTTTAAGTTTCTCCCGTTGACAGTGATTGGAGTTTGTTGTTGTTGTTGATGGTGGTGGTGCGGTATCTTCATCACTTCTGTCTCCTCTATATTCACTTGAAGTCCCGTCTTCGCTGCGTCTTCTGTCAACTTGTTAGTTTTTGCCTGTAGATCTTCAAGTTTGTGTGACATCCCACACAAGTCATCGGCGAAATCCAGATCTTCTAGGTTATTTTCCGCAGTCCAGCGTATCCCCCTCTTCTCGCTCCCCACTGTTTGTTGCATGATCCAGTTGACCACGATCAGGAATATCATGAGGGATAGTAGGCAACCTTGTTTCACTCCTGTCTTCACTTCAAAAGCATCACTGAACTTCCCATTGTGAATTGCTTGGCATGTGGCATCTTCATATAGTTGCTGAATGAGGCTGATAAAGGTTTGCGGTGTTCCATAGTATTGAAGCAGCATCTAAATTACCTCTCGGTCAACGCTGTCGAAGGCCTTTTCAAAGTCGATGAAGTTGAGGTAGAGTTGAGTTGACTGCCATTCTATACTCTGTTCTATGATGATGCGAAACGTAGCGTTGCAGTTTGGACAGCACATAATTTGTGCTTCCTGAATGCAGCCAGCCTGTTCCTGTCGTAGTTTTGAATCCAGTGAATCCTTTAGTCTCTCCAGGATGATGCGGCTTAATATTTTGCTTGCTTTGGGTGGACAGGAGAGTGATTCCGCGCCAGTTCTTGCAAACACTGAGGTCTCCCTTCTTTGGGAATTTGACAAGGTAGCCCTTCTTCCAATCGGTTAGCAGGTACCTTCCCTTCCTTCCACACCTTCTGCAATAGTGGTGTGGTGTGAGCATGTCCACTGTTGTCTCTGCATCTGTTTTCAGTGCTTCTGGCGGGATTCCATCTGGTCCTGCTGCTTTCCTGCATTTCAGTAGCATTATGGCGTTCAGGACTTCCATTTTTGTCGGAGGATTTATGTTAACTTGTAGTTCTGTGGCTGCGCCGCTGGTGGTATTTCTGGATGAAGTGCAGGTGGTGGTCGATTAAAGAGCCTTTTGAAGTGGTCAGTCCATCGTTCCCTTTGTTTCTCTTCTTTCGTAATTAAATTTCCGTCATCATCTTTTATTGGTTTCGTCTGCGTTGATCTCCTCCCAGACATCAACCTGGTTATTTGATACAATGTCGTCAGGTCTCTCTTACCTGCAGCCTGTTCTGCTTCACTTGCCAGTGTTTCGTAGAAGTGTCTTTTGTCTTTGTGTGCACTACTCACTTCTTTGTCCAGTGTTTTGTACATTGTACTCAGTTTCTCTTGTTGTTGAGCATCCTTGCACTGGTTTATCTTCTGCTTCACCATCCTCCTCTCCCTCCTCTATCAGCTTCCATGTATCCATTGAGATCCATTCCATTCCTTATCTTCTCTCTTCTCCCTTCCTTATCCAGTTATGCAGGTTTCTTTCCACATAGCTTTCAAAGAGTTCCAGTGTTCTTCCACACAGGTTTCTTCAGGGATGTTGCTCGATGTCTCCCATTTTGTCTTGATGGCTGCTTTGAAGATCTCTTTTTTCTAATTTCATCCTTCAGTTTCCGAGTGTTGTACTTGAATTGAGGTCTATCACCACCTTCCTTGAAGGCTTTTAACTTGATTTAGAAGGTTCCTTGCACTAAATAGTGGTCTGAACCTACATCTGCTCCTCTTCTTGACCTTGTGTCAAGTAGACTGCGTCTCCATTTTCTTGAGATTGAGATAAAGTCGATCTGATTTTTAGTATGTCCATCTGGTGAAATCCATGTCGCTTTGTGGATATCTTTGTGCTTGAACACACTGCCTCCAATCACCAAATTGTTGAATGCACAGAATTCTACAAACAGTTCTCCATTCTCGTTCATCACCTCACCGAGCGCTTCTGGCCTATGGTTAGTTCTCTTCCTGTGTTTTCCTCTCCCACTTTGGCACTCATGTCACCCTGCCCATTAGAATGAACTTTGATATCGCCAACTGAGGTGGTGTCTTGTCCAATGTTGATTGCAGTTGTCTGTAGAATTCCTCCTTTTTCTCTTGCTGTGCATTATTTGTAGGTGCGTAGCGTAGCATTGTATGATTGTGTCTTTCCTTCCTTTCGAGTTGAATCTTGCTGTCATAATCCTGGAGTAGATTGGTTCCCACTGCATGAGAGCCTTCGATGCTGTTGGGGACATCATGATAGCCACTCCGAAACTCAGTGTGCTCGTGGTTGTCATCTGTGTGACAATGTCGGAGTAGATTATTGATTGTCCAGTTGACAGTTTGGAGAATTCACTTCCATTCCATCTGCTTTCGCAAATTCCAAGCACTTCGATGTTATACCTTCTCATCTCTTTTGCAATCTGGGCTGCCTTGCTGGGTTCAAACATCGTGAGGACATTCCATGTCCCCACGTTTACTTTCGCTTTTATCGAGAGAAGACACATCGGCCAATTGGCCTCCCCCAAGGCTTTCACCAACTGGCGTGATTTCGCCTCTCCGATTCCAGTGAGGAATAAGTTTGTTTTTATTTTTTATATTTTGTTTGTGCTGTGAAGTTTGTTTAGCGGTTAGATTTGTTTTAGGGGGTAGGGTTGCTAGCCCTATTCCCAACCTTCCCTGTTTACCCGGGCTTAGGACCGGCTAGTAACTAGTGAACTAGTTAACCAGGCGAGGTTATTGTCACAATTAATCTGCGAAAAATTACTTGAACTTCGCTACGATCACATAGTAATGTATGTGGTTAACATGCAGCTGGATAACTCGTAGTATCTAGTGTAAATAACTGTTCAGCGTAGACTAAAAATAACTAAGTAATCACTACTCCTAACTTAGTGGAATTTGATTAACATAAAAAGACGTGGTTTGGTAGTTGGCTTAATGATAAGTCTACAATCACCTTTATAGCACTTGGTATTTGAGATTCTGTTACCACTTGCTTTTCCGTGGAGCAGATTTTACATGCCGAACATTGGGTTCACTGTTCGCCTTTCGGAATACTGTTCCTATCATTCATACTTGGTCAAGACCTGTTTAAACAATTTTTCTATTTATTTAACCTGAACATAAATTACATTATGTTTAGGAAAGTTTAGATTTTTAACTTTGACTATATTTATCAAACGTTAACGTCTTCTTACTTTGCTTAAACTCAAATTT